TAGTTCCACCTGCAATTTCTGCAGATAAAAAAAATCAGTTTGTACGATTATATCATCGATGCCTTTAAAACAATAATTTGAAAACATAATCAAGCTATATGAATAACCCAAATACGGAAGCAATATGAATCGGCAAAGACAACAAATTACAATAATTTGACAACAATTTTCAGTTACATTTCCAGAAAAAAAAAGACATAAAACTAAGTATATTAACCTTACTCAGAAACAATAGAAACAGATACGGAGCCTGCAATTCATGTTGATTCCATGTAAGGATTCAAGAAAATAAGCTATAACTGATTCGAATTCTTAGATGTGATTTAGGAGATAGAAGGCAACAACGATTTTTTGTCTTTTCGTAAGTTTTTTCGCTTTTGGTTTTCTAAACAATAACCTGTCGGTGGATAAACGACAGACCAAAGTTTTGGGCCTGGACTTAACTTTTATATTATATATGGGTCTGAAACAAAACCAAATTTATGTTCACGATGTCCAACAATTTTTAGAAGACAAAATCGGGTATTAACTTGATTTTAATGAAAATGTTTTATGTTTTTAAAAAAAATACACTTCTCTATATTAAATGATTCTAAAAGTAACAGTACAACAGAAAATACTAATAAAGAAAACATGCTCCAGCTGAAAACAAAACTTTTAACTATAATTCAACTCGATCTCTAGGTATAAAAATATGCTAAACATATCAAAAATACTTAGTTAAGTGAAATATTATTTTTTATATCTCAAACAAGTTTATAATTATTTCATACTATATCATTGAATATAAAACCACAATATTAAAATACGTAAACTAAATATTTCTCTATATATACATATACATATGAAAAAATAAAAAATATAGTTTTACAAAAAAAAACATTGAACCCGCGGTGTACCGCGGGTCAAAATCTAGTTGTTATTAAAATTTTAACTTTGTAATGAAAAATATCTAATATCTTTGGATATTATAGTTTAAAACATATTTTGAATTAATAACTGATAAATTTATATGTAGTATTTAGTGTACACTAAAAAATATTATATTTGGATCTTAATAATTTCATCAAAGACAATTAAAAAATTTAGATTTTAAGTTAAAATGTGATGGATTTTATATCTGAATAATTTTATTGTTCATGGTAAATTTCCTTTGAATTGATTGTTATTTCTTTTCATGCTAGAAATTGTTGTCTATATAACAAGTTGGCCAGTTAAACATTGAACTTTCATTTCACTGTGATCATGGATGACTTGCCTTTGTATCTTCTCGATGAAATTCTCTTCAGATTGGAACTCAAATCTTTGGCAATTATGCGATGCACAAATAAATATTTCCAATCTTATTTATCCGACGACTCCGATTTTGAAATTGCATATTTTTCCATGTTCAAAATCAAACCTAGTTTGTTTCACCTATACAACGATGGCGCCATAGCCGTCTTCTGTCAGCCTTTGGTTTCTTCATGCGATTCTAGGTCATTCGGGAAAATAGCTTATTTAAATTATCGTTACCCATGTTACATATTCGGCTCATGCTCTGGCCTTCTCTTACTATATATCAATGGTCTCTTCGTAGCAAATCCCGTCACAAAGACGTTTCAAATCCTTAATCACTCTGGATCAAATCTTATACCTATGATAGTTGGTGGGAACGATATGATAAAAATGGACGATGTCGCTCGCACAGAGAGAGCAATGTGTGTTGGTTTTGCGGTAAATCGAAACCGAACCACCAAAAGTTTCAAGATTGTATGCATTCTTGAGATGGAAACAGTGTACGGCTTCGAGATTAGCGATGGATGTTCTTGGAGGTTATCAGAAACAACCATCACCGCTGGTTCAAAAAGTGTTCTCATGATGCGGATGAAACATGTTTACTTGGATGACACTCTTTACTGGTTGAGAAACGACGGGAGCATCATAGCTTTCAATCCCGAGACAGAGCAAGCACAACTGATTTCTTCCATATTCCATCTGGAATCAGATATGAAGTTATTATTCGGGGCGGACGATAAGATCAATCGCTTGACCTTAATATCAGGGACAAAAGAAATGATCTCAGTTTACATACTGATGGAGAATTCCAAGTGGACCCTTTCCAGGCGGTTCAAACTCGTATCTATGAAAAACAAAATGTTGTTAGGCTGGGACTTGGTTGCGTACGACGGCAAGCGTCTTGTGGTGAGGGAGGTACCAAAATCAATTTATAAAGATGGTTTCCTTCATGTTTATGATATGGAAGCTAGCAGTTGGGGAGATTTGGGGTACAACAACGGTGGAGATTTTGATCATAGAGTCTATTATAAGTTTAAGCCCTCCTTGTACTCTGTTGAGAAGGATGAGCAGACAAAGGTTCTTGTAGCTACTGATGACCAACGCATCCCCAATCTAACCAAGGTTATGGAACTCATTGATATAACCAAAGAAAAATATACTCCTCTTCCTGTACGCAAGATTCTAGATATGTTTTCTATGCATTACCTTTTGGAAGCCGAGAGTATTATTAGCTAGGTGAGACATATTTAGTGACCAGTCCGATTTGCTATGATTATACATATTTTTACGGGTTGTCTACTATAATATAACTCACAAAATATTTTAATATGAAATTATACTATGTAAACGAATATTATGTCAATATCATTTTATTATTTTAAATATTATACTTATTAAATTAATTTGATCAATTTACGATGATATAAAAAAAATTATCATATAATATTCTACGGGTTAAATCATAGAATTAACAATCAAAATATAGTTGTACACTCTTATATACCAAACAAAATTAATAAAAATAATACATTTTAGAATGTCGTCTCGCGGTGTATCGCGGATTAAATCATAGAATTAACAATAAAAATATAGTAGTACACTCTTATATACCAAACAAAACTAATAAAAAGAATACACTTTAAAATGTCGTCCCGCGGTGTACCGGGGGTTAAAATCTAGTGAAAGATTATAAAATTTTATATGGTATATAGGGTAGTTCTATGTAACAACTACTACTGAGAGATTCGATAAAAATATCTTATATGCTTTTAAAGTTTTAAAATCGTTTTTACAAGTTTTACAAAGTTTTTAAAAGGTTTTTAAAAGGGTTTATAAGGTTTTTTAAAAAATTATAATTGATTTTTATGCTATTTATGAAAAAATATAAACATTTATACACATACAAAGGTAATTTATGTGTATATTTATAAGATTACGCACATATTTGGATAAGTTTCAATATTTTTAGTGATTTTTTTTTATAAAGTTTGACAAATGGAATTTTTAAAAAGTAGTATATGAAAATGAGTATTTTTGAAAATTTCCCAATTAAGTTTTAGCATACCAAAATCTAAAGAAGGTACCAAAGGGTGTTTTAGTGGCTCCCTTATAGATCCTCCGATTTATTTTAATATTTTTATAAATTTGGTGATTTGTGTGATACTAAATCTGATAATTTATGAAAGTATCATTTTAGAAATAAGAAAAAGCCGAAAAAACCGCCATCTATTTTTATTTTAAACGTTTAATACCTCATATTTTTTTTTGTTGGAATGACAATACTTCATTTATTTTATTTTACCATAAAAATATTTGTTTATATAACGATTGGTGAATTCATACTAACGTGTTAACAGTCTTCAACGGCATTACCAAATTATCTAATGGTGTTAAATTATAACCTTGGATGTTTTATCTATATATTTTATTACTTTTACTAAATATACAATGGGTTATCGTGGTTTGATGGTAAAGCTTCAGATTTATCAAACGAGGGTTACTTTTACTTCCTTATTGTGTTTCACCACCAAAGCTGTCGTGCCATAAGATACATTGCTCTGTTTATATCTCTGCTCTGTTTTTTCCTTTCCTTCTTCTTCTCCTTCCAACTACCTCAAGCACTTAAGAGATTCTTTAACCAATATTGGGTTTAGCTTTTAATATCTGGTCATTCATCTCCCCAACCTTGCAATATCTGGTCTTATGACAAAACACTAGCTCATATGTTCGATTGAATCAAAACTTGCCTGGATTCCCCATTGTCTTGGTTCATCAAAAGCATTGATATAGGATTTTACCCGGTTCAAATAATTATTGATCCAAATTTGCAATGATTAACTCACTATGAATGCACTAGCTAACTCAATCTAAGCTATAAAGATTTACTTGATTTCCAACTATTACTAATAAGGCAATTCAAATCAAGACAAAATCAAACAAAAGGAAACAAGATGCAAAAGACTAACACAATTCGAAATGAAACTAGGCGGGAAACAACGAAATTCAAACAATAACGAAAGGCGAATCTTCGAGCTAAGGTTATCGATCTAGGAGGATGAAGTTAAAGGTTATGGAGCTAGCAAATCACTTAAACAAGCATTATCCTTTGGCATAGAACTCTTAATTAGACTAACCCATTTTCATGATGCTAATCCCTTCACTAATCTATCAATAATCAACATTTATCAAATGGCAATCAATCAATTAATGAGCATTCAAACAAGTCTACATAGCCTCTAAACACCCTAATCAACAATTTTCAAAGGCTAGGAATGTAAAGATCTTAAAGGTTTTTCGTTGGGGAAATTCATCAAACACCTTCGGGCATGAATTCCCTAAGATCTAGAAACAACTTGATCAATGTTTTTCTAGCATGTTAAACAACCATTAAGCAAGAATAAACATAAATCTAACCCTAAGCTCCATAACCCTACACTAAATCAACCTAGATCTACCATAGCTCAAAGACTCTAAAAGACTACTCACTAGTCATTATGATTACACAATAGAAATTGATTATTCTTTGTGGAATCATTAAGAAGGAGAGTAGATTAAGGAAAGAAAAAAGTACTTAATTTAAAACTTGAATATTCAAATACAAAATATAAAAGATAACCTCAATCTTCCTTAAAACCCTAAAACAAAGCCTAGGTATTCCCAATTGGGATTAGAGTATTTATAGATAAACATGACATTAAACCGAAACAAACCGGAGCCGGGACAAACCGAACTTTTGCAATTTTATAACCTTCAACCGACATACCAATCGACCGGTTGGTCGGTTGACTCGCTAAACCCAACCGATCGGTTGATCGGCGATTGCTCTCAGACAGAAGCTCTCGTGTATGTGGCAACCGACCTTCTAACTGACCGGTCGGTCGGTTGTCATGTGATGGAAACTCAACCGATCGGTGGATTGGTCGGTTGATCTCGGACAGAAGCTCTCGGGTTTGTGGAAACCGACCACCAAACCGACCGATCGGTCGGTTGTCATGCGATGGAAACTCAACCGATCGGTTGACTGGTCGGTTGATCTCAGACAGAAGCTCTCGGGATCGACTCAACCGACCTCTCAACCGACCGGTAGGTCGGTTGTCTTTCTTTTCCTTCCCTTCTCTTGTTCTTCAACCTTGGTTGATCCAATTTTGACTCCGAAACTTGATCTTTTACTCCATTTGTGCTCCATGAACTCCTTAAAACTCCAAGTACCTGATAAGACTCAACAAATGCAAAATGTAACCTAAACACACTAAATAAGATGAGAAATGCATAAAACTATCCTAGAAATAAAGCTCAAAAACCATTAAAAACCATAGACATCAACTCCCCCAAACTTATCTCTTGCTAGTCCTCTTGCAAGGATTAAAAGATAAGTCGAAAGAGAGGTTTGAAGACGGGGATTCATAACCACAAAATATCAAGCAAAGGATTCAAACTAAAGTCCTCGAAGATAGTTCAACGGTGCATAAATCAAACATCGTACTCTCAAATATTTTCTCATGCCTAAGTTAATGCAATCTTCTAGTTCATTCTCATTCCATTAGCAAATACTCACAATCAAGTTGAAACATCTCTTTAACATTCATTAAAGTGTTTGGCGCGGTCTCGCAAATGGTAAGTGAATCAATCTCAATCGGTTTAGGGCAAAGGCTTTTTGAGGTGGCTTTGTTTGTTTGTTTCTTTGGGTGGCTAACTCTTAAAAGAAAGGAATGCTAGACAATCATGAAATCCATCTAAGACCAAGAACAATTTATGCATACAAAGATTAGCTCTTGTTATTCTACCCATCTTAGATATAGGATTCTAATTTCTACCATTTGCAAACCCTTTTCTTTTTCTTTTCAAACTACACCCATTGGACACTTTTGGTCTCATTTCTTATCAAAACACAACCCTCATGATCAAAACCTTATAATTCATTAGCCACCTAGGGAACCCTTTCTTTAACCACTAAGCTCTTATCTAATCCCACTTTCTTTGTCAACCTTTGCAAAACCTTTCCTTTTTTGGAGATTATCTTACCCAATTCTTTTTTTTACTTAGGTCTAGAGCTTCTTTCTTATAACTTTGATTCCATAGAGACTCCTTTTAAACTCAATGATCAAGCTTTTCACTTCTTATTCCAACCTTTTCTTCTTCTTCTTTCTCCCAAACCCAACCCAAATGTACAATCTAACCACCTAACTCTTTCATTTCCTTCCTAATAGCTAGCTCAAAAATTTCCAAATACTAGCTAAAACAAGAGCTAATACCTTGTCGTTCTCGATTCTCTCAAGATTTCACAATCTATAACATTATCAAGAAGAGGCCTCACTCACAAAATCAATTTAAGGGTTGAAATGAAAGGTAAGGGTTACGGGTAAAGGGAATTTCGAATCATTCAAGAGAGTGGTGAAAGGGTATATGATTCGATTAAGAAGAAATTACCATGAGAATGCATTCAAAAACCATAAGCGAGAGAATTAGATTCAAATTAAGTCCAAATACATAGAGATGCTTCAAAGATCATGTAAGTTTCACACAAGAAGAGATTGCTTTCAAAGAATGCAAAGGTCTAAGCATGAATTTTCATTTCTTTCCAAGATGATCAAGCAACAATGAACCATGACCGAGGGCTTTAAGATTCAATCCTAAGGTTCAATTTCTACAAGGCATTTTAATCATCATCCCCAATGCATATGCAAATGCAATCTACATGCTACTAGACTCGATTCTAGAAACAAAAATGTAAGTGCAAAACTACATGCATTTTCTTTTTTGATTTTTAAAATTTTTTTGATTTTTCTCAAAACATAGCTATTTACAATGCAAGACTCAAGAGAGGAAAAACAAAACAAAACACAACATTAGATGGTTAGTCTCTCCCCCCAAATTTAATTCACACCGTCTCGGTGTGAGAGAAGCCCGAGAAAAAGACTAACGAAAGCAAGAGAAAACAAAATGGAAATGGTATAGACAATGGTTAGAAATGGTACCATGGAGTGCTCTAAGGAGCGTTGC